CAGACTATTTACAGTAGTGTATTTCAGGACTCTGATTGGAATAATTTTTATTTATACCCCTGGGCAAATTCTGTAAATCTTTTGCTTCAGCAGAGTGGCCAGTTCTCTGATGCATTATTGAAATGTTTGTTAGCTTGGTGATTGAGTTGCTTCTGGGGGAGCAGAAAATTCTCTGTCTCCATCTTTATCTCTGTATGTTTCCACCACAACTTTAGAACAGCTCAGAAAGATGTGCATCCATCTTTTATCATTATGTTTTTCTCCAACAATAGCAAATGCTTCAAAGCCACAAATGCAGGTGGTTCATGGATGCCTTTGCAACTAGGGGTTGACGTTAGAAGGGTAGAAAAAAGGAGACAGAAAAGTGTGTTCAAAATCAAAACACATTGAATTCTAGAGACGCCTTCACTCAGTATCTTATTTGAGAAAAGAAACACTCAAGAATAAAGGAATTGCAGTTGTAATTTTCCACTATAACACAGCCTCACCTACATTTTGCCTACCTTTGAGATACTCAGATGAAAGACAGGAGTGTATGAGTGCAAAGTGGTATTACCTATCTTCCCTTTGAGGCTATGGTTATTTAGTAATTATGCTTTTACTGTTCTATGCATGGTTATGCTTCTAGCTTAGGAGGAAAGCAATTCTTATCATAAAAGCCACCCTATTTCGGAGACTTGTAAAATTTAAAGCCACAAGAAAGTGAATTATATTGAATAGGAGTTAAGGCTTCTGAGCAAAACTGCATACATGCTGCAGAGTTTAATTAAGCCTGCTTTTATCAATTCTCACAGCTAAATTCCTTGGGATAGTTATCGGAGTTAAAAAGACTCATGTTTTCTATTTTGAGTCATTTCGACGTTAGGGCTGAAAGGACTCCAGGGGGCGCCATTCAGGTCATGCCCAGGTCCCCTAGAGGTGGACCGCACAGCCGTACATAGCAGGTCTAGTTTGCAGGGTGGTTGGAAGGAAGAGCCAAGATAAGAACCTCAATAGAGGTCCTATTACAGTGGTGCAGGTGAGAACACATGAACTCCTGAAGGCGGACAGTAGCTGTGGGGATGAAGGTGAGGAATCAGTGCTGGAAAGTATTTAGAAGGTGGACTCAGTAAGACTTGTTGGGTAAGGAGAAGTAAGTAAGGATTCTGCCCTCACATTGGGAACCGAGGCATGTTCTCAGTCACCAAATCTTGTGTAAATCTTTGTGTTCTCCTTCCTTTACTTCCAAGTAGGTCATCTTATCTAGGTGAATTCTTATGATCACAAAGACTACTACAGAGCTAGGTATTTCCCGTTTTCAAATAAAATTGGTTATTAAGGTCTGCAGACTCTCCCATGTTTCTCTCCCCCAGCAATATACCAGCAAATGATTTGGGAAATCAATATTAATTAATCTGCAAGCACTATCAGTTGGCTCAGCAAAGAACAAACTTTAGGAAACATCAATATCCCCTATGGCAGTGATGAATCTCTTGGAGTATTGATAGATATAATTTATCTTGGCTTCAAAAAGCATTTGCATATGTCCTCAGTAACATATTTGAAATAAACTAGGGACACAGAGCTGCCATGGTAATTGTGTAGGTTGTGGTCTTCATGTGAATGTTCCAGAAAAAGGAGATTTATGGAGACCAAAATCAAACTCACGCACTTCTTGCCAAGCCCTGTGGCTTCCCTCAAAGCTTCATCCGTGAGGAAGAAGTGGCAACTTTTTTCTTATTGGTCCATTTAAGGTTTTTTTGTTTGCAATTTGTCAGCCCCAAAGTGTTTTCCAATGTATGGAATCTTTTCGAATCTTTTTTGAATGTATACTAAATTTTATACGTGTGAAGGGGACCAAAAGTTTTGCCTTTTGGGATATTGATTTTAAGCTGGTAATTAAGAAACAAAAGACTCAGAAAGAACCTTTGACCCTCCCCCTTTCCTTCCCAAGGTATTCAGGTAGACAAACCTGCTTCAGGAAAGAAATCTTTGGATGTTGCCTTAGCCTACTTAGAATTAAGCAGAGTAAATAAGAGGGCTTCAGGCAGGGGTCTGTTAGCTAGATACGCCCTGTGTCCCATTGTTTCTGAGTTGCCCAGCCAAGTATTTGCCTGCCCTGTGTGTTTTACTCTTCCTCAACTACCTCTAACATGCCCAATCTCATTTTTGAAATCTAAGACCCCATTCCCTCCCCTTTCTCCTTTGTCTAAAATGTCTTATATACCCAAAGTTGCCTTTGGAATTTTCATGCTTATGTGAATTCTCCATTTGCATGTATTAAAATTTTGATTTTCTCCAGTTAATCTGTCTCTGGTAATTTATTAGGCCTGCTAGAAGAACTTAGAAGGTGGGAGGAACAGTATTATAATTTTTTCAGTCCCCACATGTGCTAGTGATGGCCCTAGGATACACAATTATTTTGGCACGTAGTGCATACAGGAGGATCAGAAGCTGGAAACTTAATAACCAAGTAATGATTCCTTGGTGCACAGTTAATGGGGAGGAGGTTGGGAGTCATAGAGGGAAGCAAAAAGGACAGCATATTAGGTGAGATTTTCAAGGAATATTATTGTTTTATACAATCATTTCAGTATTTATGTATCATCATTGGGGCAGATCTGTAAGGCCTGAGGCGTATACAACTTTGGAGGTCCCTCTTTAAAAAAAAGAATATAAAATTATGAATGCAAAATTTCTAGGGTCACCAGAGGAATGGATCAGTGCAAGTACCTGAAGCCTTAAAATTCAATAGCTTCATGGTAACTCTGCCTCTGATTAGCATGTCCTGATCTTTCCAAAAGATGCCTAAGGAAACTAGTATGTAATTCAATGACATAATGTTTGCTCACATTTTGGAACCCTTCCTACTGTGACATAATTAAGGGCCAGAATCACCTTTTTAATCACTCTTGCATGACACATGATAGATGGAAGGAAGAAAGAAAGCAAGCAAGGAAACAAGAAAGGAACGAAGGAAGGAAGGAAGGAAGGAAGAAAAGAAGGAAGGAAGGTAGGGTGAGAGACAGTTTATAAAGAAAGAGTTTTTTTTTTTTTAAGATTTTATTGGGGAATTGGAGAAGGGGAACAGTGTTTGGGAATTGGGGAAGGGGAACAGCCAAATTGTTGTCCTTCAATCTTAGTTGTGGAGGGTGCAGCTAGCTCAGCTCCAAGTCCAGTAACCATCCAGCCGCCGTTCAGCAGCTCAGGGCAGCTCAGCTCAAGGTGCTGTGTTCAATCTTAGTTGCGGCTGGACCACCCTCCCATGAGGGAATCAAACCGGCAACCTTGAACCTTGTCGTTAGGAGCATGTGGTCTCACCAGCTGAGCCATCCTGCCACCTGTTGACAGCTCAGCTCAGGTGCAGCTCACTGGCTTATGTGGGAATCGAACCAATGACCCTGTTGCTCAGAGCTCACGCTCTTAACTTACTGAGCCACTCGGTCAGCCCCGATTTAAATTTTTTTTAATGGTTGGTATAATTCTTTTAGAATTGTGTTTCCCAAAATGGTAATGGGTCTAAGAATTCCTAAATCATAATCTGAACACACGCTTCATCTGTTAATACACAAATTATTGATTGTTTCTTGCCCAGGATGAGTTATTGCAATATCTGGGTTTGTACTTAATTTAGAATTCAGCAATATTACCTCCAATTACACTAGGAAAAGAAAGATGACCCAATCAAACACTTTCTCTATAAACCTTAAGTGGTAAGTCTTTACTGGCTGTTGTCTATGAGTCAGAGTAAAAAACTCATCAGTCAAAGCCCAATACAACCCTCAGATGATCTAGAGTCTTAATACTTGATTTCCTGTTTGGTGCTTTGGGGCTTGCTCAATTTGCACCTATATTTCCTTCTCTTCTCCTACGTCCCATTTACTTATTTCTAGCCTGTGAGCAGATTATCACCTCCATCTGGATAAAGATCATATCTTCTTCATCATTTTAGGGCAAGCAGTAAGATGTAGAAAAACAAAACAAAGGAACAAAACAGGCTTTGTAATCTGACAAAGGAAAGTTTGAATTCCAACAGTCACTGGTTTTTAACATAGGAGATTCCTTCACTTCACATCACTAACACTCGATCATTTGGCAATGCGGGATCTGAGGAGGCATTTTTCAAGTTATTTTTAAGGAGAGAATCTTGACCTTGTTTGGGAGTCAGTAGGTTAGGAGCCTGAGCAGTATAATCAGGTCAACCTAGGTTTGATTTCTTGTTCTCTCACTGTGCCATCTAACGAGATACCAATACAGCTTTACATATATGTTGTCATCTATAAAATAGAGAACAATAAAATAATGGCTGTGATTTTTTTTTTTTTTTTTTTTAGCAAGCCATCCTTCCACCTGTTGGCAGCTCAGTGGCAGCTCAGCACAGTCTGGGAATTGAACCGGCGACCCTGTTGATCGGAGCTCACACTCTTGAGCAAGCTCTTAACCAACTGAGACACTCGGCTGTCCCTGGCTGTGAATTTTTAAACCTGGAATTTGGCACATAACAAATACTCAATGGACTTTAAAAATGATTATTAGCCAATGGCAGATGAGAAGGTACTAGTTATTATTAGTACTGATGGAAAGCTGGGGTTTTTATTGGTTGAGTAGCTTGCCTAATTAATGAAATGTATGTGGTACTTAAAAACAGTTTTGCTTTCTTCAAGCCACCAGTCTGAACCCACCCAGAATTCTACTGTTTCCACAAGTTCCAGCATTAAATCCCTTCAACTTGTTTAGAAGTCTCTAGAAACTTTTGTTTTTCCTTTGGCATTTATTTGAAGTTTTTAACTTTTCAAGTTCTCCTGAACCACACCTTGGATAATTATTAAAAAGCTCACAAAATAAGGGCCAGGAATGGTATTCATTCATACAAGAATTTCCTCATGAATAAGAAAGTACACACATTTAGCTTTCACAAAATTGTCAGGGAGGAAACAGAGGAGGAGAAAAGAAAAGTGCCTGGGGTGGCAGGAAGTGGGAGGAGACTTTTAAAAAAAAGTAATCTTGGGCCAGGAGCCATTTCAGAAGTAAGAAGGTTTTCTGTTTATCAACCTCGAAGTCTTTTCTGAGTATGGAGGATGCAAAAGGCAAGAAAGTAAGTACATTTTAGTGGGTCTGTTCACTGTTTTTGACTCTTCTTGTGTTTCTCTCTCTCGCTATGAGCACACTGCTCCTTGTGAGGAGAAAATAATGTGCCTTAGAATTTCCTTCTCTTCACTTTAAGAAAAAATTAAAGTCCTGGATATGATTGCAGCCTGGTATATTTGAGTGAGGAAATAATAAGAAATGGGGTTTCCTGTTTGGGTTTTGAAGAGATGCTTTATCCTGTCAGAAGAATCAAGTATCATAGCTAGAAGGAAAGGGTAACAGGAGAAAAGGTGAGGTGAGGGGAAGATTTTAGGAAGAGGTAGATGAACTGAGGCTGAGAAAGAATGAGATGCTTTAATTTCCCTTCAAAAGACACAGGTCCTAAGCTAAGGTGCTGGGTCTCGGTCTTTTTTCCCCCAGGGATGGGGAAATAATTTCTTGCCCAAGGCCAAGAAATAATTAGAAGCCAGACATACCATGAGGACTGCAGACAGGAACTACAGGTAAAGAGGCTTTGAGGCATGGTACAGAAGAATTGAAGTACTGTGACCAGGAACCCTGAGCTCTCTCAGGGTCTCTAGGAGAACCGGGTCATTTTTTGCACTCTCAATTTTAAGACTTTTGTGAGAGCCCAAAGTGAGCCTTTTGTGAAAGGATTATGCATATGTAAGATTTGAATATGAATGTGAAACTGCAATAAAGATGTAAAAATGCCATACAAATGTTAATTTGTCCAAGTACTCCCTCCCCCATTGATGGATGCTGGAAAGGATTTAGATTTGAGAGCAAGTTAGCCTTAGGCACTTTAGATAAAAATCAAATCCATCTGTATGCCTTTAGTTCTTTCTGTAGCCTCTCAGCCTCAGCATCTGAAAAACAAAGTAATAAATTGTCACCAGATTGCTGTGAGGATTAAATGAAGGAAAATAAGAAAAGTGTCAATACCTGAAATAAGATAGAGGCACAACAAATGTTAGTTTCTCTGTACCAAACCACCTTGATCCCCACTGTCTTCTTTCAATTCAAATTAACCAATAAGTATTAAGTGCCTGCAATGAAAGGGGAAGGAATTTTACCCTGTTGGAGCTTACAATCAAATGGAGTAACAGGCATTGATCAAATCACATAAGCAAATATAAAATTGCAACTGACAAGTGGTAGAACTGAGGAAATAGGCAGTAGATTTGACTTGATCTATAAAGGCTAGAAAGGGTTGCCAGATGAACCAACACTTGAAGTGAGATTCTATTGTAGAAAAGGAGTGATATTTTAAAATGTAAATAGAAGTGGGTGGGGGTGGAGCTGAGGGAAATTCCTTCAGGCGAAAGTAACTAGTTTGGAATGGAATGCTGCCACTGGAATTTGGGACTATGGAGAACAAGCAGTTTGAGAAGAAACTGGTAGGTTGTATTAAAGACATTTGATTATCTTCATATTTTCCTGTTAAGAACAATAAACCATTGAATCAATGTATAGCATCCTTCTGGGAAACATTTATTTGAAAGACATCAAGAATAAAGGAATGGGGGGGGAAAATCTTCCTGGTAAGAGATTAAGATATAGATAATGGGTGATAGAGGGCTTGCTCCAAAACAGAGCAGTTTCCTCTGTTTTGTTTGTATCTATATTCTGTCTTTTCTTACACATTCAAATTGGCCTTTTCCCATTTACCCACCATTGCTTCTCTCTCTTATATTGTAAATAAACCTGGGCATTAAGATGATACTGGAGAATACACACCGTTCAGTGATGTCTTGGTGTCTTGGGTGTGGGTTATCTTAAGGCAGGAAGTGTTCAAGTGGTAGGTCAGACATCAGAAGAATGACTGACTGGCTCCTCTTTTCCCAGCGGAACGCCACAAAGAAGTCAAAGGAGAAAAAAACGACTTGCAAAGTCTCTGCAGAAGCTGAAGAGAAACAGCGGGCTGCTGGAGAACCAAGTACAAAAAGGACCTCAGGGAAGGGGACCAAACGAAAAAGACCCATGAAAGACAGTGAAGGTAAGAGGTCCGTCCACAAGTCCTCGAATCCCATTCCCTTGGGTTGAAGAAGCTTGAGGAATGTTTCTGGAGTAGAAAAGGTAGAAAATAAATTTTTCTTCTCTATTTTACAAATCCTACACTTCCTTCGAGGCCTAGCTTAAATCTTACCTCCATACAGCCTTTCGGTCACCTCTGTTAAATCTTACCACTTCCTGTCTCCAAACTCCCACAATATATTTGGTTCTGATCTTCATTTTGCTTTCACTCTGACAAGGAGAATATTCTGAGATATTCTAAATTACATTACAGCAGCCCAAGAGTGAGAGAAAAAGAACTGTTACTCTGTTAAATGGCTCTGGGCCAGGTAAGAAAAGATGGCTCACATCCCTCTATTGTCTATTGGGACTTCAGATTAATTTCCCTATGTCTGTTTCCACAGATTATTTCAGCCAGAGGCTATCAAACTCCAGGAGCCTTGGCTGCTTCTTTACATGTGGGTTTTGTGGACTCTGCACCTACCCCAGGGCTGGACCCACCTCACTTTCTCCCACCCCTTTGTCTATAGCTAATGTAAATTCTTTTAGGTGACTTAATTCTTTCTTCCCCCTGCTTGCTACTTGTTGTATAAAAACACTTGCAAAATCCAAGACAATGGACATGTATGCTTTTTCCATTTAGCCAAACTGATGGAAGTTTGGACTTCATGCCCCAAGACCTGTCTTTTTGGCTAGCATTTTTGGCTCCATAAAAAAACCTTTAAAAAAAAAAAAAAAGACTTTCAGCTGTGGAAGTTAAAATTTTTAACAGCTCACTGCTTGGAGTTAAGTGTTCTTGATGTGCCGTGATTTGAGGACAGACTGATGTAAGTTTGAAACCTCATTCTTGAAACTTCACCTTCTATTCTAAAAATTGAGGGTAATACCTACTGTGTTGAGTCGCGATGGGGTGGAGGGTCAGTTGTAATGAACAGAATAATTAGGTAAGATACCTATATTCTGCCTGACTAGTAATGTGGACTCAGTAAACCCTAGCAATTATTAGCCTCAACATACTTGTGTCTATTTCTAGAGTTGTGTTCGCCAAGTCTTTTCCTGAATGGTGCTGTGTGTGAGGTGCAGCAGACGTGTGTGCGATGGGTGTGGAGTGCTGTTCTGATGGGGGTGTGCTGGCAAAATTATGGGTAATAGTGGTTGTGCTGAAAGCTGGGTGCTTATTGCTGGGTAGCTGATTTGTTTTATAGTGAAAGGGAGGGCAAGGCACCATAGAGTATTTATGATCTCCCATCTAAAACTTCTATCACTCCCCTGGATTGGAACTGCAGTCTCTAGTGCAACCTCCTCGGAGTCTGCGCGTTAAGGAGTTCACAAGTGTGTGTGAGTAGTGAGAAGTTTAGGAAGTAAAAACTGGGATTTGGAAGTATTGAGGCCTAGGTTTGAGGTTCTGTGCTTTGGAGGTTCTGTGGTCTTTGGTAAGTCATTTAACTGTACAATAGGGACCAGACTCTGAGAACTAAAAAAGTAATTATACTTTTTGATATTTTTATTTTATGTTTTCATTTTTCTGAGAGTTTATTTGAGCCCAACTGATGACATCTGGTGGGGGTGGGGGGGGGATGTGCTGCAGGAGCAAGATCTCAAATGCTCCCATACTTTTGACATTTTAAAAGGTCACACAAAAGTTAAAGTTAATTATTACTAATTTTATCCCATTCTCCTTCAGCTTCCTGTCCACAACCGATGGCACAAGACGGTAAAAGAATAAGACTTCGGAGGAAGATACCAATTCCTCCATTGCCCTCAAGACTGCCACCCATAAACCTGCTTCACCGAGATATTGTGAGGGCCTGGTGCCAGCAGTTAAAGCTGGGCACCAAAGGCTTG